ATAATGATAATAATAATGATAATAATAATGATAATAATAATAATAATAATTGAGAAAAAAAAAAAGAAAAAAGAAAAAAAAGATAAGGAATAGAATTAAGAGGATAAACAAATTTGCGTATTAATATTATAACTTTTACTCCTTCGTAATAATTGAATGTCTTGCAATGTCGTCCTTCGAGTACTAAAATTTTCTTAGACATTATTAGACGCTTACCTTAAATTACCTTAGAAAATCGGAAAATTTATAAGTAACGTGTATTGTGCGATGAAACGAAAAAAAGAAAACAGATTAATTTATCGACTACAATATGAAATTGATGGGCGATGCATTCGTCGCGCATTGATTGTCGTATTGTGTCAATAGATCATACAATGAAGCAGTCGTTGGTATGTTTAACGGACATGCCATGTTCGACGAGTGACAATAACGGTGCTCTTTGATGTTCCATAAATGCAGACTGGTGTGTTCATCGGGCCGGTGACGTCGGTGCCGATCGTCTTATTCTCCGGCTTCTTCGTCAACTTTAACGCGATCCCCGCCTACCTCAGGTTCCTCTCTTACGTCTCGTACATACGCTACGGCTTCGAGGGCGCGATGATCACCGTCTACGGGTACAACCGGCGCTCCCTCAAGTGCTCCGAAGACTTTTGCTTATACAAGTCACCCCGCAAGTTCCTCACTGACATGTCCATGGACAAGGCCGTATATTGGATCGACGTTGTCGCCCTCGTCGGCTTCCTCATCGCCCTGCGCATCGTCGCCTACTTCGTGCTCAGGCTCAAGCTGCGCTCCCTACGCTAAGCAAAACCTCGACACAACTACGAACGCCCAGTAAGGCGTCCTTGGAAGGAACGAACCCACCACATCATCACTATACATCACTCGCCCTCGCGCGTGTCTGTACATATACATATGCATAAGTGCAAGCATATACACACGCGCGTTACAATCGCATACGCGCATTATGCATATATGCCCACGACGTTGTGTACACACACGTGTCCCTATATCTATATGCATACGTGCACGTATACGTATGTCAATGTATTTGTATGGGCAATAATGGGACGGAGATAGTATCGCTGCACACGCTTTATTCACGTACACAAAACGTGTTCATAAACGGAGGATATTTAATTTTAAAAGTGGATAGGGCGACATTTAGTTGCATAAGCGAGGAGGAGACGTTGTGTCGAATCGATTGTACGAGTTTCTTTTTCTTTTTTTCATTTGGTGTTTTTGTTTTTTATTCTGTTTTTATTCTGTTTTATTTTTATTTATTTTTATGTTTATTTTATTTTATTTTATTTTTTTTTTTTTGTATTATAATGGCGTATCCAGAAACAAGCCCCATCTAACGATACTCCACTTGTACGAAATTGTGAAAATCTTCGATTGTCAATGATCAAGATGTCCCTCGCGGAAAATAAAACATCTTGTCGAATGGGTGGGTAAGTTTCTGGGGGATACGAAGAGATTTGTAATGTTACTGGTGAAATGCGAAAATTTTTGACCAGTTACGATTATCAGTACTGCCGAGCGTCTTTGTCATAAGTATAAAGTGCCAAGGGGACTGAAACGGAGTAGAAATTAAGGGATTAAATATATTGTTAATAAATGACATCGCTTTTATAATTTTATAGCGTAAGTAATTGTATTAATTTTAAAATGTACTTTAAGTGTTTCGCAGTAATGAGCACATGTGCATAATTTTCATAAAAGACACGTATTGTTTTTATAAATATCTTAAGATTTTATATTATTAATGATAAAGTATGAATACTAAGGAGGTCTCGTTGTAGGGAGGATGATCGGTGTTAGGCTTGGTAGGACGCAATCAATGGTGGCCATCAAATTCGCTCTGATCGCGTGTGGATTGGCCACGAATTCGGCTTATCACTCATTGTCCCATTATTAGAGCCCGAGTTATCGCTCTCTAGAACCTGTCAATCGCCAGAATGAGAACCATCGCGGCCTTAATCAGGCTGCTACGGGTTCTGTGCTTCTGGCACGTTTTGCTACTTTGCTATGATTATTGTTCATTGAATTATTATCGCGACGCCAATACGACGTCGAGATCCTTTATCCCATAAGCAACTCGATAAGAACAAAATGAAAATAATCGTTAGACTCTAAAGTCATGATTATTATTAGCGCTAATTTAAGCCGTATAGAAATGTATATTATTTGATTATTCTAATTCTCCAAGGATTTATGAAATATTATCGCTATTGTTATTTTATAATAAGTACTTTGTTGCACAATCAATGAAAGCAGTTGCATTAATCGACATACCATCCGTGGACATTCTATATGAACCAAAAAGCTCGTACAATTGATTAAGCGCATTATTGATAAATCTTTTTTTACTTAGATGAAAATTAAATTAAACGAAAATGATCTCGATACGAACATAAGTGATCGATTGCAATCGACTATTGTTCGCAAATTAAATGCAAAGTGTAAAGAAATATATAACAATAATGTAATACGAAGTTAAAAACAATTCACGCACGCGTGTGCGCACACACAACACAACACAACACAACACAACACAACACAACACAACACAACACAACACAACAGAGAGAGAGAGGGAGAGAGAGAGAGAGAGAGAGAGAGAGAGAGTGAGAATCGCATGATAATAATAGTTTTTATGCTAGTTTCCGAGTCGCTTCGCCAACGCCTCGAACCCGACGTCAAGTTTTTATAGAGAAAAGAATTAAGAGCTAAAAGTCGACTCGCAAGTATCGTAGCGTAAAGTTGCCTTAGTTTTTGTGGTTGAGATATATACATATTATGCGAAAGTTTAAACATTTATTAATATCTACTTGACAATTCTATTATTTTTATACCTTAGTTTATTTTTTCTTTCGAGGATAATATTATAACTATGTTTTACGACTTTTACGTATTTCTTTTAGCACTCCATCACGCGGAGTCTTGGCGTATTATTGTTGCATTCCCATTACTACCTTCACCCGTCTTACTTTCACATCCATCACTCCTTTCACGAATAGCGCAGTCGTGTACGCGTTATCTCTCTCATGACGCAGCTCCATTTCCCTGTGTTATTTTGCCGACCAATAATATACATGTGCCGATGAATTGTTATGTATCTGATCTTCTGTATTTTGTTCGATTGTCAATTTATTTGAATCGTTAAGAAAGTCCCTTAAAACGATGCGCCATATCATTCTATTAAAGTTTAACGATAATTTGAAACTGCAATAATTTACAATGTTATTGTATTAGTAGAATGGCAATCTTAGGCAATCAATTTGGATAATGATAAATCGTTTAATCTCGACGAGCGTGGTCCAACGATTAATGAATGAGTCTTGTGCCACGCCACGAAAACCAATATTTTGACATTTATTATATAGCAATGGATGGGTTTGTTTTTGATTTTTACTTTTGTTTTTGTTTTAAAAATATTAAAATGTATTTATAATTGATTGTACTTTTCGTTTAAGATTTTTTTCGATATTTCGGTTAAATTAAATTAAATGGCAACTAAGGATTATTCGGTTCATTCGTTAGAATCGAAGGATAGTAACAATATAATACGAGTTCGCGATTATCCAGCTAATGTTCCCAGTATTTCCGCCAATACTTATAGTTGACGCCCATGACCATTTTAATTAATATCACGTTTTGAAATCTACATTGTAGAATAAATAAATTTCTCTCTCTATTGAATTCGCTTGTTCTATTTACTATAAGTATATTTATAAGTGAAATAAAATAAATATAAAAATAAATTATTCTAATTAAAAAAAATTCAACAAGATGGGACAAAACTACCGATTCCTTCACTTTCTTTTCAGATAGATTTACGTGTATATTACAATTATAAATAATATGAACTAATCTTTAATCTAATTAATAATAAATACAAATTAATGATATTTAAGCTGTAAATAATTATGATATACTTGCTATATCTTCGGAAGTAATGAATTATAAATGAATTGAATAAATCAATTGAATTTGAATTTCCGCGAAATTAAATAATAAAGGCGTTAAAAGACGTTGTTAAAACTTCCTTTCTCGATACATCTTTATCTAAAAGTTCAATTTTCATTTTTTTTATTAGAAATTTGTAACCCGTATATTCTCATTGACGGTATTTATCGATTCGGTCATTTAACTTCCGAATGAACACTCGAAATGAAGAGGCTCCTTCGATTTTTCAAATTTCACTTAAATTTTGATAGATCTATGTATTATTATCCAATAATAGTGGAGGCGAAAAATCTCCGTTTAAATATTGTAATAAATCATTAGAGGGCAAGAAAGTATGTTTTTCTTTAATATTGATCGGCTGTATGTTATTATATGTCTTATTGAGATAATATTGTGAGGAATCGTTTTAAGGACGCAAAATTAAGGAATTCAAAATGAATAAATTGAGCAATTCTGAAGCAACTGCGGCTGCTCTTATTTTATTTTTTACACTATGAGTATGATTTCATTTTTATAAATTATCAATATTTCAATGATCAAGTCACTGCTTTACAGTTACAAATGATATATATTTATTCTATGACATATAATATACATTTATAAAAATTTACAGCCAACACGATTTTGAATAATGACATAAAAGAAATTCTATAATATTTATATTTAAGGAAGATCAAATATATAATATTTTTTTATAAATATAAATATAATTACTCTACCAATTTTATATATTATTGGCATCAAAATTTTATTATTACAATGAGTATCTATTTTCTTGCTTGCATACATCAATTCATATGGCTACACATTGAAAGTTAAAGACATGGACATTTACGTTCATTGTCATCTTTTTGTTTAAAGACAAATATGATCATTTGCATTTCGTCAGAATTTCGTATCTGTTTGATGCTATCATATTTTTGTTTGCAATTTCAATCCTAACTCGATTAATAATTAATGAATATCTATGCGGCACAAATTTGTAGGCATTTAAAAATCATTTGCTCGACAATTGAATATTATAATTGGCAAATTACATGCAGCATTTTGTAAAAACAAATTCCCGTATGGTTTTAAATGTAGTGAGATCTCGAAGAGTAATTGTCACAATCGTCTATGATACTTTAATTGACGTTAGGAAAATATTTCATCGAATCTAAATAAAATTATAATTGTCATAGACAGTATCTGACTCTTAGAAACCTTCGAGATCCTATTCAATATGTATTATAAAAAAATAAAAATAATAATAAAATAAAATAAAAAAAAATAAAAAAAACGAGACTTACCACACATCGCTATACGTAGACATAGAGAGTCAAGAAAGAAAAAAAAAGAAGAATTGTGATAGTGATAAAGCGTTTTTATTTTCGAATCACTGAAGAGTATCTGTGGTTACAAATGCGTATTTTATTTTTTCGTCGTTTCAATGTCCATTAACGGCGTTACAATAGCATAAACTACGATAGTTTCGAAGTGGACAAATGTTTTCTTCAATTTATACGGCGTTTCGTGATCCACGTGAGCATATTGTAGCGATAAATTATAAATATGTACCGTTTCAATTTCCTGTACAGAGCAAAGTATAGACGATTTTTAGCGTAGTAAAAATTTTGTATTAATTAGTATAGTATGTGTAAATGAGTCATTTTAATTTTTTGGTATACCATTATTAATATATAGTTAGTCTATTGTATAAATCCAATTTTTATTACTTTTTTCATATGTATGTTTTGTATACTTATTCGCGAGCTGAAGGCGAGACATTCGAATAATTCTTCTTTGATTGAGAGTAACGTTTATTTCAAAGAAATAAAAAAAAAATTATATATATATGTGTGTGTGTGTGTGTGTGTGTGTGTGTGTGCGTGTGTTTGTGTGTTTGTGTGTATGCATGTATGCATGCACCTATGCATGTATGTATGTATGTATGCGTGTGTATATATATATATATATATATATATATATATATATATATATATTAATTTGTTTTAACTTTTCGCTCTCACAAATATGTCATAGTTTAGTTTATTAAGGATCTAATGGGCTTATGAGCAAATAATTCTGTTCAATTCAATAAATTATATTAAAATTATTTTATCGCACTTTTTCATATTTTATTCATTAATAAGCTCTCTGCACTTTTGCTTTTTATCAATCATAAGTAAAGCATCAATTACATTTTGTCATACTGTCAATATAATGAAAATATTTCCATTAGATTTTATTAGAATCTTTTCTTTATGAATATACGAAATCAAACACCAATGATCGTAAAATATTTTCTGAATTAG